ACCATAGTTGGACGTAGTTTTTATAGATCGTTAAAGATTCTCTTGCGATTACAGAATTCCATTTTATTTCCTTGGTGTAATGTGAATCGGATTGGTAAAGTTTTCTTTAATAATGGAACTTCTGTGTTCTTGAGTGGCTGGCGTTCAACGATAATGTAGCTTATTGATTGGCAGAAGTAATAGGAGGAAAATTATATAAGTGATATAGATACTTGAGTACGCCTTTTTGCTTCGATATTGATTACTTGCTGATTGTTATTCAACTGAAAGTTTTTGACAATCACGAATGCAAGAGACTTGGCTTCCATAAGATGTTAAAAGTAAAAGAATAAGGAATATTAATTAGTATAACTCAACATTATTTAGTATTACTCATTGTTAACAATTTAATATTTTTTTTTGTTCTGAATATTCAATATTTTGTTATATTCAATATTATTTAGTATTACATTTTTCATTACTGAAAATTTATTGTCTTCAATACCATAAGGTTAGCTACAAAGTACATTTTTGAATATTCCTGCACTTTAATGCTTAGCAAACTGCACACGGCATTCTCTTTATAATGTAGCCGTCAGAAATTTTCGGAATGCCGTAGTAAAGCATGAGCAGAATTAATAATCCCGTTCGCTCCGTTTGTTTGTTGGATATTAGTCTAATCTTTACGCTGTGAAAATTGCACTTATCCAGCGAATACGAAACTCAGCGAAATGCGACTCGAGGAACGGTACTTGTGAGATGCAGGGTAATTTCTGCAAATCTGAAGCAACCGTCTTGCATTTTTGTTCCTATTAATTTGGCGATACGAAACTCTCACAGAACACTGTACTTGCAAAGTGTGTCACGAAATTTGCTACAGTCAGACATTAAAATTGATTTGCTTTTCAGCGCGTTACTCAAATCAGGTAAATAAAATTATAATTTTCAAAACAACTCCACAAATTTGATATTTTTTTCTCTCTGCGGTGTGTTTAATGTAAACAATTCCCCGATATCTCTTTGAATCAGTTCACTGGTCATATTTCGCTCCAAAATACCAACAAATAAGCTATCACACCTCTCTGATTCAATGAAACCCAAAAAATATCGGGAACATTTTGTTTACGCTTGACCAACACCGATACGTTTAATCCTTTTTCAGGAATAAAAGAACCGAATTATCCAGTATTATGCAATTAAATAGTGAGTCTACATTATTCGGATATTCGTCAACAAGCAAAGTAGATATCGACGACTACGATTAAGTATACACAACTTGATATAATATACAATAAACGTGACTTTTGTTTGAAGATATATAATTTAATATATTGACTTCCGAGTAGGAATGAGCAACCAAATTTAAACTTCCAGAATGAAAATAATCTATATCCACATATATTTATAAGCTGTTGGAAAGTAAAATAATTTGAACGTAAAAATACTCTTTCAAATATCTAGAATTTAAAGTTAATTAATCTATAACCTCACCAATATAATCTACAAGTAATTAATTTTATAATTAATTAATAAAAAATGAAAAAATTCTTAACAATGACGAACTCGTTAAAAAGATAAATATTCTGCTGGTAAGATTGAAACGCTAAAATTCTTATCGTCATTCACGTACCGCGAAAGTGTTGGATGTCGCGAGATGATTCGAAGGAACCTATACAGGTGGTAATTCGGGGATTACGTCGGAGGCAGTAATTTCGGAGAGAAGAAAGATATTACATGACCGCATTAGTGGTTCTGAAAAGGGGCAGATCACATTGGAATAACAACACTCTTGAAAGAAGTTGGCTCTTCTTACGCGGCTTCTTTAATTCCGCAATCGGGGTCACCCTTTATAAAAAGAGTACACGCTTGGAAACGTGGCTTTCTTCTCTCAGGATCTCACGGGTCAGAGATTCAAAGGGTGTTTTACAAACGTTGTAATAATGAAACTATCCGTCAAAATGATACAGGTATCAAGGGAAGACCCGGGGAAACGAACGAGTGGATGAATACCGTGGATTTCTTTGCCAGTGTTCTACTTCTATTGCGATCAAGCTCCCGCATAATCTGAATTTTCTAGTAAATTCACTCCATCCTATTTCAGATCGTGCTTAAACATTGAATTAATGCTCAGAGCGTACTTTTTTTCCTATCCTTTCACATTATGCTGATTATATTCTGAATAATTAATAAATAAAAAATAAATAAAGTGTAATATAATTTGGTAATTCTAAAATGTTAATGTTTTATAGAACCTCTGTTAGAATTAAGTAAGAGTTATTTTTTAAGGTATAATTAATGTATAAATATTTTGTGAGATGCTACTATATTTATATAATATAAATGATTTTCAACATTCTTTTTTCATCGATTATTTGATATGATACCATAATTAAAAGATCGCGAAAACTCCATCGGACTTAATTTGTTTACTGAACCGTATATGCGTGGTTTTATTAAATATTGTATCGATGAAGTTTCAATATACATGTAAATCTCATGGACATTAATTTCGTTGATAAAATCTCTTTCTGCAAATAAATAATGTCGTTCATTTCGTTCAGCGCGATTTAATTAAATTAGTACTTTTGTATACATATCCATTTAATAAATATTTTGTCGATTAAAACTTCCTTTCTTCGGACATGATTGCAAAGTAAAGAGATAATTTGAAAGTCACCTACTAAGTGTTGATAAAATAATAATAACGAAATACTAAAGAACAAAAAGCTTCAGGCATATCTTACAATTTAAAACTTTTACTCTGTCGTCGTTTTCGAGGATATTGTGTCTGAAAAGTTTTTATGTACATATACACGCGACAAAGCTGCAACAATAAACGTTTACTCTCACAGACCACGTTTTCGTTTCGCTTTGCATTCTAGTTTGTGTAGTGCAATCTTGATACCTTCTCAAAATGTACACGCAGAAATGTAAGGAAATGCATAGCAAAGAACGTGACGCCAAATTCTGGCATCTATACATGTCTGAATTGTTTAGAAAATTGGTTTTTCGGTGAATTGAAAAGGTCCTAATTATTTTTCATTCCAAATGAACATTTTTGTATAAACGACTTATCTTTTCCCCCTATTTTAAAGCATTTTGCGAGAAACATGATTCAATACTTGAATGAAATTGTTCCGGCACGGTTTATTTAGCTTAGACTAAGAAGTAAATTTTGGAAACATTTTATTGCTAGCTGCAATCCTTAAATCCGGTATCATAAATGACCAGCTGTCGAAACTAGCATGTCATTAAAAAGCGGCAGCTCAGCCACCTAAATCCCCAAGCGCACAGCCACTGGTACCTTTGCAGGTCAGAAGTGACAACGTACCCCCTACCTCCACTACTACTAATGTGGGCGTAGGTCAAAACCATGACTAGCAA